CGGGAGTGGGCGCTGCGGAGGGCAGGGGCTTTCGGAAAGGGCAGCCCAGGCAGGCACTGTGGGGCCTGGGCTCGGTGGGAGGATGTCCCCGAGCGTGGCGACTCCTGCGCGGGCTGCAAGGTCCGTTTGAATCCCGGGGGACCCGTGAGCGGAGAGTCGGGGGCGCTGACTGCTTGGATGACGGGTCGCGCAGTGGGGGGTGGCCGGGGGTCGGGGAAGAGTCCTGGGAATCACTCGGGGAGGGAGGCAGGCCGGGAGCGGGCGGCAGAGCGGCGGCAGAAGATGTGCGCGCGGAGGCTGTGAAGTGTCATTCAGGAAGACGCGAGAGCCGCTGCTCAGAGTGGAAAGCGACCGTGCTGGCGGCCGAGGAGATTGTCTGTGTTGGAAGTACTCCTTTACCAGGGACGAGCCTTCCATCCACCGCAAGGCGGTTTAAGAAATTGGAGGACTATGCAAGCAATCCTCGGTTGCAGAGGACGGAGGAGTTGCCTGGTTCGCCTTCCTTCCACCGATCTGCAGACCTGGTGTCACCCATGTGTTCTTGAGAAGATCGCCCACCTGCCTGTCTCTCCCTGTTCACTGCACAAGACTGCCCGTTAGCCCAGGGTAGAGCCTGAGGTTTGCTTTTGCAGCAATGGGAGAGAATGGGAGGAGGATGACCGGGAAAGAGCATAGAGAACGGATGTGGTTTTGGGAACGCCATATTAAAATCCAACTTCTCCCGGAGGTACATATAAATAAATCCTGGCTTATTTCACAGCTATTTCTGTCAGACTTATATTTTAGCTTTGTTAACTGTGAATTCGGCCTTTCATCTCTCTTTAGCCCGTACTGGTGAGCAAACTCTTCTTCCCTATTATTTACCAACCCTCGTTACGCAGTTGTAATAAAATTTCAAGAGCATGACTGCATTTTCAGTAAAGAAAAAGTCCAGGAAGGACATAGTGGAATCAAGGGCAAAGGGTTAGGAACGTTAGACAAGAGAAAAAGCTCCTGCGTCAGAGTGCAACAAAATTCTAATGGGTGAAACTATGCAGGAACCTCGGGAATGCCACAAATCATGGAAATCTGGTCATAGCACTAAAAGGAGTTCAAAGAAATAGCTCATGTGAGAACGCAGGGCACAGCTGGCCGTGGTGGTCTCTCTATGCAGTTCAGGCTGGCCTTGAGGTCACTTTGTAGCCCAGGCTGGCCTCCAACTGGCAGTGATCCTCCTGCCTCAGCCTCCCAAGTGCTGGGATTACAGGCATGGATCACTACGCCTGGCCAAACTTTCTTTTTTTTTTTTTTGGTTTTTCTCTGGTACCGGGAACCGAACTCACGACCTTGCGCTTGCCAGGCAGGCGCTTTTGCCGCTGAGCTAAATCCCCAGCCGCGGGCCAAACTTTCTAGGCTTCTTTTTCTTTTTAACTCACACTTTTTATTTTTTTGGTACCAGGAATCGAACTCAGGACCTTATGCTTGCCAGGTAGGCGCCTATGCCGCTGAGCTATATCCCCGGCTTGAGCTATATCCCTGGCTGGCCTAACTTTCTAATCAAAGCTACAAACCCCAGTTGTAATGAAACAGTTTAAAATAAAAATAGAGACAGTAATTATTGGAGATTATTTTCAAAGCCTAGAAGACTAAATTAATTCATTTACTTAAGGAGTTTGTGACTTTTATTAGAGTTGTCCATCAGTGTTTCTGAGAACTTTTGGAGACCATAGGAAATTGCTGATATGTGACTCAGTTTTATTTTTGGAAAATAATAACAGGTGCTCATGTTCCTACAATTCACTATTAACATAAGTTAACCTTTGCTTCAGATCTATTTAAAAATTGAAATAAATATAGGTGAGGTTGTGAAGTACCATGTGAATTTTCTTCCATTTACCTTTTTTCCTCAAAGGTAGCCGCTAACAGAAGTGTGTGTGTGTGTGTGTGTGTGTGTGTGTGTGTGTGTGTGTGTATTACTGGGAATACCAGGGCTTTTGTACTGGGCTACATCCCCAGCTCATTTTTATTTTGAGACAGGGTCTTGCTAACTTGCTAAACTGCCCAGGCGTGGCTGAAACTTGCCGTCCTCTTACTTCAGCTTCTCAGAGTGTTGGGATTGCAGGTATGAGCCACCAGCCCAGATTATATCATAAATTTGTTGTCTTTCTTCCTAGTCTGTGTTTTTATACTTTTCCTAATTATATATGCAGTCATAAAATGTGTAATGTTGTTTACTTATACAAGTGGAGTTGTAGTCTGCATATCTCTGTGGTTTGCATTTGGAAACTGTCCATTCATTACATGTAGGTCTGGTTCTTTTTTTTTTTTTTTTTTTTTGTACTGGGAATGGAACTCACGACCTTGTGTTTGCCAGGCAGGCGCTGTGCCACTGAGCTATATCCCTGGCCCTCTGGTCTATTTTTAACGTTACTATTAGTCTGTTATTTCTATATACTGCCTTGTATTTATCCATTGTTCTGTTTATGGCATCTGAATTGTTTTCATTTTTTCCATGGGCAACAGTGAGGTTAGGATGGTGAAGAACAGCCTTGCACAGGTATTGTTACAGAGAAGCATTTCTCTACACCAGGATGTCTCCACTTTGGCACTATTGACATTTGGGACATATTGACATCTTTGTTTTGGGGGACATCATATACTTTTGGTAATGTTTAACAGCACCCTTGCCCTCTGCTTACCAGATGCCAGTAGCAGCGTCCCAAGACAAGTGTCTCAGCCAAATGTCCCCTTACAGGAAAATCACAGCTGGTGAGAGCCACACCTCTTGGTGTGTGTATGCGGAAGTGACACTTGCAGCTTAGTCTGACTCAAGTTATAGTCTCAGATGTTCTTACTGATACGGTTTTAGGCAGGATCTTTTGTTTTCTCACTGTGGCTCCTGATATGAAAGAGCTTGCCCTAGGCCAACACTGGTCTTAGTAGTATCAGGGGATAGTAGATAAAACATTGTGGTTTCAGTTTACACTTTTTGCTTTGTTTTGTTTTTATTTTTGTTTTTTGAGACGGAGTCTCACTGTGTAGTTCAGGTTGGCCTCAAACTTGAAGTGATCCTTCTGCCTTAGCCTTCCAAAGTGCTGGGATTACAGGCATACACAAGCAGGCCCAGCTTGTGGTTTCAGTTTAAGGATGGACTGGAGTCCGCTGGGGAGATGCTTGCATCTTCAGCAATCTGCCTAGCACTAGGCCTCTTTCCCTGAACTTAGAGCTGGGGTCATAGACTTTATTTTATTTTATTTTATTTTGTTTCTTGTCTTTTTGAGACAGGGTCTCGCTATGCAGTTCAGGCGGACCTTGAACTCACTTTGTAGCCCAGGCTGCCCTCGAACTCGCAATGATCCTCCTGCCCCTGCCTCCCGAGTGCTGGGATTACAGGCATGTGCCACCGTGCCCGGCTTAGACTTTAATATTCCGATATAATGCTTAGAATGGAGGAGACCCTCACAGAATGGTTTTTTATTTTTTTGTCTTTTTGAGACAAGGTCTCACTATGCCGTTCAGGCTGGTCTTGAACTCACTTTGTAGCCCAGGCTGGTCTTAAACTCGCAACAATCCTCCTGCCTCAGCCTCCTGAGTGCTGGGATTACAGGCATGTGCCACCACGCCTGGCTCAAGAAGGGTTTTTAAACCAATCCTTGTTAGTAATGAAGATGGGTTTTAAGAACAAAGGCAACTGAATTGTTTCATTCCTCCGCTCTTGAATTAAATCTTTGAGTTTATCACTACTGTGGGGAGGTAGAGAAGGGCTAAGAACCTTGTGGAATGAAGCCAGACTTTGAAGTGTTGTTCTGATCTTCTCTTCTGGCAGGAGTCAGCAGTAGCCTTCCTTGAAGAACTGCCTTTCCCATTTGTTGCCTGGAGTTAACGTTGTTTCCGGCTGGCAGAATCAGGGACATGCCAGCACCGTAAGGCTTAATATCCTGATCCTCTTACTAATTTCTTCATTGGGGTGGGGTGAGGGGGGCTTTCCTTTTATGGCTTTTAAGTAATTTCAAATCATAGTCCATAGCCTGCTTACTTGTTGATCCTCCTTCCCGTAGCTTTGTTTCCTGTTTCCGCTTGTACCCTTGAAGTTCCCTCTTTATTTTCTAGTTCCCCATATCCTATTCCCACCCACTGCCAAGGGGTTTGGATTCCGAGCTGATGGGGTTCCCACCTCTGCAGAGCGGGATGAGTGGGTGCTCCAGTGGGGATGTGGTCGCTGACGGCCAGTGAGGACGAGAGCACCACGGCCCACTTCTTCCTTGGAGCTGGAGATGAGGGGCTGGGCACCCGTGGGACAGGCATGAGGACAGAAGAGAGTGACAGTGAGCTACTTGAGGATGAGGAAGATGAAGTGGTAAGACTGGGGGAGATCATATAACTTGGTGTTGGGTCTCCTGCCATAGAGATTCTTTTCTTTTTTTTTTGAGACAATGTCTTACTGTGTAGTGCAGGCTGGCCTTGAACTCGCTTATGTAGCCAGGCTGCCCCTGAACTCATGGCGATCCTCCTGCCCGAATGCTGGGACTACAGGCGTGCTCCACCACACCTGGCTGAGAGATGAGATTCTGCTGGACAGGGACACCTCGTGGTTCTTTCCAAATGCATAGACGCCCTGTCCTGCACAGGCCCTCTCCTGGGTTAGGGGAGGAGCAGTGGAGATGGATTGATTGCCTCTCTTTGGAACTCCTACTCAAATGCCTCCTCCTGTTGTCTCACGATTACTGGTTCTCTGGCTCTTCAGCAGGAAGGCTCCTACTCCATGGGCAGTGGGAAATCCCTAGCTATACCCCAGCCCAGACCAAAGTTAGGCACCAGTGTCCTGACAAGACATGTAGATCCAATGTCCTGACAAGAGACTGCCCTGGGGAGATGAGGCAGTGTTCCCCAGGGGGTGATCTAAGTGAGAAGTTCTGAGTTCCTGATAGCACTTTCTCCTACAGCCTCCTGAACCTCAGATCATTGTTGGCATCTGTGCCATGACCAAGAAATCCAAGTCCAAGCCAATGACCCAAATCCTAGAGCGGCTCTGTAGATTTGACTACCTGACTGTTATCATCCTGGGAGAAGATGTGATCCTCAATGAACCTGTGGAGAACTGGCCATCCTGCCACTGCCTCATCTCTTTCCACTCCAAAGGTTGGGGTCCGGCAAGGAGGGTAGGGAGGATGTGGTGGGAGTGCTGGGCTGGGGGTGAGTTTCTTACTATCTTATTAGTAAAGAGGCCATCAGCTCCTCCAACACAGTAGGGGAACAATGCCAAGGGAGGTGCATTCTCTACATCTTGGAGGAGTGGCTGGGTAGAGTTGAGACCCATCTTCTGTCTTTCAGGATAGCTCTAAGGCCTTTAGGCTCTCTAACAGAATTGGATCTCTAGAAGGACCTTAAATACAATTTAAAAAATTTTTTTTCCTACCCAGACTTAGAAGTTGGGCAGAAGGGGAAGTGATATAGGTTGATTGGGTGGAGGAGCTCAGTGGCAGCTATTAGCTTTAGAATGTTTCTCTGTCTCTTGTTGTTTTCTCTCTCCATCTCTTTTGCTTGCTTTCTTTGGTTATTTTCTTTCTCCGTCCCAGGCTTTCCCCTGGACAAAGCTGTTGCTTACTCCAAGCTTCGAAACCCCTTTCTTATCAATGATCTGGCCATGCAGTATTACATCCAAGACAGGTACAGCTTTCTGTGGGCCCGTGGGATGGTGACCCTGAGATCATGCCCACTTTGGGAACACACTCTGGTGGGGGCAGAGCCAAACAAACGCACTTAATTTTTGTACCTTCCCTGTTGAGTTTTATGCCTCAGTGTCTTCCAATCCCTGTGCAATGAAGCCCCTAGCCTCTCCCCTTAGTTACCCACCCACCCGCACTCCCAGCTAACTGATTTGGGGGTGACAGGAGGGAGGTGTACCGGATCCTGCAGGAGGAGGGTATTGATCTGCCTCGATATGCTGTGCTCAACCGTGACCCTGCCCGGCCCGAGGGTGAGTACCTGTTTCTGCCTGTACTTTCCCACCTTACTCTTCGTGACTTTGCCCAATTTCTGTCCCCTAGACACCTCTTATACCGCCTAAACTGGGAGGCGGGGTTATTGGGCTATGGTAGGGTGAGAGGCCAGTTGTTTTGGACAGAGCTTGGGCCCATTGTACAGATATTCTGTGTACCATATATAGATACTACTGTATCTGTCACTAAGAGATACTCAGAGGGATTTGAGGGTTGTAGAGATTAAAATCATCTCTACAAGTGATGTAGAGATTAAAATCATCTCTAGAAGTGGGAACTGGGAATATTCTACAATCTTAGGCCCTAAGAGTGACCCCATACCCCCTCTGCAGAGTGCAACTTGATAGAAGGTGAAGACCAGGTCGAGGTCAATGGTGCCGTCTTCCCCAAGCCCTTTGTGGAGAAGCCAGTGAGTGCAGAGGACCACAATGTTTACATCTACTACCCCAGCTCAGCTGGAGGAGGGAGCCAGCGCCTCTTCCGTAAGGTGGGGAGATGGTCGAGCATCTGGGGAGTCAGAGGTAGAACATGACAAATTGTGGGGAAGGGAGCTGGAGAATCTAGGGGCAGGGTAGAGTGTTGAGGTAACGTGTTTTTTCTTCCTTTTTCTCCTGAAGATTGGCAGCCGAAGCAGCGTTTATTCTCCTGAGAGCAGCGTCCGAAAGACAGGGTCATACATCTATGAGGAGTTTATGCCAACAGATGGCACAGATGTCAAGGTTATGTTGGACACAGGGATTTTTTTGTTTTTTAACAAGGTCTTGCTATGTAGCCCAGGCTGGCCTCAAACTCAAAATAGGTGGTGATCCTCCTGCCTCCTGAGTGCTGGGATTGCAAGGGTGCGCCACCATGTCCACCTTTGGACACGGCAATTTAAGAAGTTCCAAATGTCTGGGTGTAGGTGGGGATACTTGGAAGCAGGTAGAAGTGTATGTGGAAGGAGTCTTAGAAAATACAGTGTGAAAAAAAAAAGAAAAAAAAAAAAAGAAAATACAGTGTGAATCAGTTTGATTCATATTCAACTGAAGAGGAGTGGGGAATGTAGACAGTTCCATTTTCACTATTAGAGCAATGGCAAGGGCGCATGGGAAATGGTATAATGTTGATAGATTATTTTTTAATAAGGATTAGAGGGCCGAGGATATAGCTCCACGGCACAAGCGCCTGCCTGGCAGGTGCAAGGTCCTGAGTTTGATTCCCAGTACCAAAAAAAAAAAGGATTAGGTGGATAATGCTAGAGTCTCGAGGGGAAACCTTCATGATAATACTGCAGTAGGGCTCCATGATAAAAATCAATCTACTTATTCTTGGTGGTCAGTGTTTATTTGTTTTGGTTTTTCACTCTGAAACTAGTCTGCAGACCTAGTGCTCATACTGTTTTCTCGTACACAGGGTGAGCTGTGGGCGTACTCAGTGATGCTATGTACCTGCAGGTGTACACAGTGGGGCCAGATTATGCCCATGCTGAAGCTAGGAAATCTCCAGCTTTGGATGGGAAGGTGGAACGAGACAGTGAGGGGAAAGAGGTTCGATACCCAGTCATGCTGACTGCCATGGAAAAGTTGGTGGCCAGGAAAGTCTGTGTAGCTTTCAAGGTAGTAGAGAGCCCATGGGGTTGGGGAGTGCGGGGCAGGGATGGGAGCAGGGGTCTGCAAAGGAGGAGTGGTTCTCTTTTCTCATCTTGCCCATTTCACCTGCAGCAAACAGTTTGTGGCTTTGACCTGCTTCGGGCCAATGGTCACTCCTTTGTGTGTGATGTCAATGGCTTCAGTTTTGTCAAGAATTCAATGAAATACTATGATGACTGTGCCAAGATTCTGGGGTAAGAGACATAATGGTCTGGGATGGTGACACTGGACTTAGAGTAGGAGTCGAAAGAAAGAAAAAAGAATAGATAGAAAACAATGGAAACAAAGCTTTTGTAAATAAGGAGAAGGAGAGGAATTGAAGGAAGGGGAGGGGAATGGGGAAAAAGAAGAACCACCTCCCCGTGATGAACGTGATCTTTGTGTATATCTAAAATGTACCAGTAAACTTAAATTTAAAAGAAATTTTGCTTTATTTTCAATATTATAAACATAATTTAAAAGGAAGAAAAGAAAAAGGGTCTCTCTGCCCCTTTGTCTCTTCAACACTGCAGTCCTTAGCTGTGGCTACTGTGAACAGTTTTAGATATAATAGATGATCTTTTCTGCCTTGGGGAAATAAACTCCTTCACTAAATGTGATCATACTGTGCTACGGTTCTGCAACTCGGCTTTAAAAAAATCATCATGTAATGTTTAAACCATTCAAAAGTACGGAAGGAACGATGGCGATGGTGAGCACCCATAAATATAGCAGTGCTCTCCAAAGACTACTCAGTTGAAGGAGAAGCTGTTAATACAGACCCCTGAATCCCCCTCCCTGGTTATTTCCCCTCTGCCACACGCAGAGGGAGTCACAATCTTTACTTTGCTGTGTTTCATCCTTCGGCATTTACTTATGTTTCCACCACATATGTGGTGGTATTTGTCTGCATATTTTCGGACTTTGAATTCGTTCTGCAGCATGCTTGTCTTTGTGAGCTTCATTCCTATGTGTAGCTCTGGGTCATTCATCTTCACAGGGCTTTCTCTTGTTTCTCCTGTAGAAACACCATCATGCGAGAGCTCGCTCCACAGTTCCAGATCCCATGGTCCATCCCCACAGAAGCAGAGGATATTCCCATTGTCCCTACCACCTCTGGCACTATGTAAGCAAAAGTAAAAAGATCTGGAGTGACTTATGTAGGACACTTGAGATTTCTTCATCCACGCAGTTGTTTCTTTATAACCTATATAGTATTAACTAGGAGGGCCTGGGCCTCTTGTAGTTCTCTTAACTCTACTGTTATCCCAGTGTCAGATCCATGTTTACCTCTTGTTATATGTGTCCAAAAGGCTATGGTGATGGAGGTGAGGGGACGGTGGGGTGGGAGAGAGTCTGAGAGATTCCTGGTCTTAGGATGGAACTCCGTTGTGTCATTGCAATTATCCGTCATGGGGACCGCACCCCCAAGCAGAAGATGAAAATGGAGGTGACACACCCAAGGTAGGAAGCACGTACTGATTTGGTCTTCTTTTTTGATTTGGTCTTAAGGGAGGTTGTGTGGGAACAGCTCTGAGAAGCTATGGTTGTCTCGGTGCTTCTCTTGACTCTAGGTTTTTCACTTTATTTGAAAAATATGGTGGATACAAGACTGGGAAATTAAAACTCAAGCGACCTGAGCAACTCCAGGTAAGGTGGTGAATCTGACCAGAGGGAGTAGCGCTGTGGGAAAAAAAGAAGGTGGTGGCACACACCTGTAATCCCAGCACTCAGGAGGCTGAGGCAGGAGGGTCGCCTTGAGTTCAAGGCAGCGCACTACACAGTGAGACCCTGTAACTGACCAGAATGTGGCCTCCTGTATGGATACCCTGTTAACTCCTCTAGGAGGTTCTGGACATCACAAGGCTGTTGTTGGCTGAACTGGAGAAAGAGCCAAGTGGTGAGATCGAGGAGAAGACCGGGAAGCTAGAGCAGCTGAAGTCCGTGTTGGAGATGTGAGAAAGCGGGTAGCAAAAGGGAGCCAGTAACAGGGAGAACTGGGGTCCCGGGGCATAAAGGCAAGTGTGACTTTATCCTGTAGGTACGGCCACTTCTCAGGTATCAACCGGAAGGTGCAGCTGACTTACTACCCTCATGGAGTGAAAGCTTCCAATGAGGGGCAAGGTAAAATATAATCTCTTTTTCCATTAACCACTCAGATCTTTTATCCTTGAATCTGGGAATGGCCTCTGCCTGAAATTACTTTTATGGTCTCAGTAGACCCCACATTTAGATATTCTGCCATTTTCCCTAGATGTAAGCCTATTCTCTGCACCATCTTCCCTCAGATCCGCAGAGGGTGGCTCTAGCCCCGTCCCTGCTGCTGGTGCTGAAGTGGGGTGGAGAGCTGACTCCGGATGGCCGTGTTCAGGCTGAGGAGCTGGGACGAGCTTTTCGCTGCATGTACCCTGGAGGGCAGGGTGAGTGTTTGGGGGAGAGAGGTGGAAATACTACCAGGGCCGATCAGGTGATCAGAGGACAAGCTGGGGGGAAAGAGGGGCAGAGGTGGTGACGGAGGTAGAGGAGAAGAACATATCCATTCTCTTCCTGGTCCTCCCTTTTGCCCCAGGTGACTATGCTGGCTTTCCTGGTTGTGGGCTGCTTCGTCTTCATAGCACTTTCCGCCATGACCTCAAGATCTATGCCTCTGATGAGGGCCGTGTCCAGATGACTGCTGCCGCCTTTGCCAAGGTGTGTACTGTAGTTCTCTCTCAGCCCCAGCTTTTGTTAGGTGGAGACGCAGAGACTGGATAGCTAGTTGGGAAATGTGAAAGGCATTTGTGTGCCAACTCAGAAGTTTCTACTCATGTCTGACACTGTCCTTAGCTCCTGCTGAGGAGCTGGAAAGGGTTGGTGGGAGTAGGCCCCTGACCCTATACCCCAGCTCTTCAGACCAGCTCCTGTGTGACTCTGGGATCAGGAAGACCTAAAAAGACTGTCCTGGAAGGGAAACTAATGTGCCCTGGCTTCCCTTCCAGGGCCTGCTGGCTCTAGAAGGGGAGCTGACGCCCATTTTGGTACAAATGGTGAAGAGTGCCAACATGAATGGGCTCCTGGACAGTGACGGGGAGTCCTTGAGCAGCTGCCAGCACCGGGTGAAGGCTCGGCTCCATCACATTCTGCAGCAGGATGCGCCCTTTGGCCCCGAGGACTATGGCCAGGTCAGGCTCTCCCTACCCCTGCACCCACTTCCTAGAATTCTAAATAATAATGTTTACCAGGCACTGTTTTAGCTACTCTCACACTTATTTCACGTATCCTCACAGCATCGCTGTGAGATAAGCACGTGTCTAGGTTTCAGAAATGAAGAAGACTATAGTTTGGGCATTAAGACTTGCAGCTGAACCTAACATCCACCATCCTAAGATGATAAGCCTTATTTTTCTCACTCAGTGTAAATAGTCACATTTTGCTACAGAAATATCGATGTATTTGGTGTTGCATCAGCCTCGTTGGAGATATCATATGACATATGGCTTATGCACTGTTTTAACTTCAAAAGTCCAGAAAATTTTCAATTCCAAAATACATCAGATCCCAAGACGAATAGAAGAACATTTCAGTGATTGCTATGTAAAAAAATGACCCCAAAACTTAGTAACTAAAAACGACCGTTTTATTATCTCTTGCAGTTCTGGACTCAGCTAGTCTTCATGGGGGCTCTTAAACTTGCAGCCAGATGTTGACTGGGGCTGGAGCTGTCTGGAAGCCAGACTGGGATCCTGGGATCCTGGGCAGCCGGCCAGCATGCTCCTCCTCTGCGCTGTGCTTGTGTTCTCAGGGCCTGTCCTCTTCACGTTTTCTTCCTGTGATTTCTCTAGCGTGGTAGCTGGACTTAACTTGTGGTGGCTTAGAGCTTCCCAAAAGCAGGAGCTTTCAGCCTTCTTAAAGCGTAGTCCCAGAATTAGCACAATGTAAATTTGTTATTTTTTATTGGGTAAGCAGTTATGGGGCCAGCCTGGATGCAAGGGAAGGGAGGAAACAGTAGAATTAATGGCTGCCTTTAACCCATCACAAGGACTGTTTGCACCATACTGCTTTTCTCCTGTGTTACAGAGGAGGAAACCTAGTCTCTAAAGAACTTAAGCAACTTTCCCAAGGTACAGTTAGTGTGAACCACACATTCTAACTCCAGAGCCCAGGCTGGTAACGGCCACAGAATACAGTCTCAGCATTCATCCCAGTGGGTGCTGACACCCAAAGTGGTCATCCTGTTTCCCAGGTACCCAGGCTGCTGGGGACCAGGCAGTGGTTTTCCCCAGTCCCTCTCCTCATTTCTGATAGGTTGTTTGCTTTTAAATATTATTTTGAGATGGGGGTCTCACTATGTTGTTCAGGTTGGCCTCTAAGTCCTAGGTTCAAGTGATCCTCCTGCCTTAGCCTCTCAAGTAGCTGGGCCTGCAGGCATGAGCCACCATACCTGGCAATTATCTTTTTAAATTGTAATACCACTTAGACCATTTTTGGGTATACAGTTCACTGGCGTTAAGCATATCCACACTGTTGTGTAATTATTTCTGACAGGTTCTTAAATGAGCTCAGTCAGTGGCTGAGCACATTGCCTGCATTTGTTATGTTTCCCTTTGAGCAGGACTTGATAAGGGGAAAGTCTTGCTCACCTGTTTTCTAGTCCATTGTTCAGTGTTTGTTTGTTTGTTTTTTTTGAGACAGGGTCTCGCTATGCAGTTCAGGCTGGCCTTGAGCTCACTTTGTAGCCCAGGCTGGTCTCGAACTCACAACGATCCTCCTGCCTCAGCCTCCCAAGTGCTGGGATTACAGGCATGTGCCACCACACCCGGTTGTTGTTCAGTGTTAAATCAAAAAAATCTGGGGTAACTTTCCCTCTCTCCTTTGCTCCCTTTTGCTAACAAGAATGAAATGTGTGAGGCTTTGGGTAGAATTGTGCATTTCCCCTACAGTCTTTTTCCTTGCCCTACTAGTACAATTTCCTTTCTCTCTCCCTATTCCTTATTGACTGTGACTGTCCTCGAAGCATGAGTTGAAACCCAGGACTTAGGTGACACTTTACTCTAGGTCCATGAAAGATGCCTCTAGTATCTAGTCATGAAAACAATCGGCAGAGAGTTTTGAGGGATTTGGGGTTTAATTTTTTTCCCTAACACTTTCCATTTGTATTTTAGAGCCCCCAAGAAAAGAACTAAGGTATATTTTATTTTCTCTGAACTCCAAGATGTTTAAGAGTGCCTCCTCTAGTTGACTGTGGTAGAATGGTCATCTGAAAGCCCTAAAACTAATATGTCCAGTAGCCTAAGCTACTCATTGAGGTTAGCCAACAGACAGCTCTGTGTTGCAGTTGGTCTCTTTATAAGAAGTCATAGGAATCCGGCAACTGGCGCCAACCTGTCTTGCCTTTCTTCTGTTCCCCACAGTTGGCTCCCACTGGAAGCACTTCCCTGCTTAACTCCATGACTGTCATTCAGAACCCTGTGAAAGTCTGTGATCAGGTATTTGCCCTGATTGAAAACCTCACCCACCAGATCCGGGAGCGGATGCAGGACCCCAAATCTGTAGGTAAGTGTGTTTTCCTTTTCTGTCTTTTTTTTTTTGAGACAGGGTCTTGCTATGTAGTCCAGGCTGACCTTGAGCTCACTTTGTAGCCGAGGCTAGTCTTGAACTCGCAGTGATCCTTCTGCCTCAGCCTCCCAGGTGCTGGGATTACAGGTGTGTGCCACCATGCCTGGCTTGTTTTCCTTTTCTTTGCTGTTGTTTTTTGTCTTTTTGAGATAGAGTTTTGCTATGTAGTTCAGACCAGCCTTGAACTCACTTTGTAGCTCAGGCTAGACTCCAACTCACAGCAGTTCTCCTTCCTCAGCCTCCTGAGTGCAGAGATCACAGGTTTTCACCACCATGCCTGGCCTGTTTTCCTTTTAAGGTCTCAGGCCTGGATGCATTTCTCAGGCACACCTATGTCTTTTCCTAGCTGTCTGAGACAAAGCATCTCACCCTGTGGTTGTACTCAAGTTGTCAGCGTCTTCTGTTGGAGCTCAACTTTTTGGCTCTATCTGACTTCCTCCCTTCCTCCAAGACCTGCAGCTCTACCACAGTGAGACCCTAGAGCTCATGCTGCAGCGCTGGAGCAAGCTGGAGCGTGACTTTCGGCAGAAGAGTGGGCGCTACGATATCAGTAAGATCCCCGACATCTACGACTGTGTCAAGTACGACGTGCAGCACAATGGTAGCCTGGGCCTCCAGGGCACAGCTGAGCTGCTGCGCCTCTCCAAGGCACTGGCGGATGTGGTCATTCCTCAGGTGTGTGTCACACGGGCGTCTAAGATAGGGGTCTAGGGAGGAGAGAAGGTGCAAGGAGGATGATGTGGGAACCAGAGGAAGAAAACTTAGAGAAGGAGGCGGGCCAGGGAGATAGCAGGCGTAAGCGCCTGCCTGGCGAGCACAAGGTCCTGAGTTTGATTCCTGGTACAAAAAAAAAAAAAAAAAAAAAGAAGTAACCAGTGGTAGCAACAGAAGAGAAGCAGTATTACTGACATGTGAAGGTAATACTTAAAAACTTAGAGAAGGAATTAGTTGTGTTGCTACAATTCCCAGAGTCCTCTCTGGCTCTGGGTAAGAGCAAGAGGCTAAATGAGGAGATGCCTGTCAAGGGGGAAGGAGGCAGATAGGAAAGAAGCCTCAGACTCAAGGTGAAGGAGTGTGAGGCAGGAGGAGAGCAAGACTCACTGAGGTGTTTATTTCTGACTGACGGCCCCTTAGGAGTACGGGATCAGTCAGGAGGAGAAGCTGGAAATTGCCGTGGGCTTCTGTCTCCCACTGTTGCGCAAGATACTGCTTGACCTGCAGAGAACCCACGAGGATGAGTCTGTCAACAAGCTGCACCCCCTGTGAGGGAGGCCGGGAGGGGCGCTGGCTGGAGGGAGGGCTGTTGGGAGCCCTGGGGCATCAGGGCTGGGGTGGCTTGGGAAACCAAGAAGGAGTCCTGGGAGGGAGAGGGTGGGAGAAGCCCTTGAGGCGGGAGGAGGGAGTCTGCGGAGCGATGGTGTGTGTGACAGAGCTGTCCTCTCAGGTACTCCCGCGGGGTGCTCTCCCCAGGCCGCCACGTTCGAACACGGCTCTATTTTACCAGCGAGAGCCACGTCCACTCCCTACTCAGCGTCTTTCGTTATGGGGGGCTCCTCGATGTAAGGACCCTCCTTCTCCTTTGAGCTTGTGACCTCTTTCCCTGGCATTCTTGCTCTGCTCTTCCTTTCTTTCTCTGCAAGCTTTCCCTGTTGTCCTTGGTGCCCCGCCCATTCCCTCACTCCCTGTGCTAGGCACTGGCTTAGCGCTTTCTCTGTTTGGTAGGAGACCCAAGACACACAGTGGCAGCGAGCTTTGGCTTACCTGAGCGCCATCTCAGAGCTCAACTACATGACCCAGATTGTTATCATGCTTTATGAGGATAACACGCAGGTGAGGACCAAACAGGTGCGCTGAGGAGAAGCTCCTTCTTGCTACTTCCTTAAAAAGGAAAGCCATCCTTGGAATCTGTACAACCCAGCTATATGTGGCACCTAGGCACAGAAGGACACAGCGTCCAGGAGGTTCCTGCTGGGACAGGAAGTGTGTTGAGCCCGAGAGCTAATCCCAGGACATGGTTCTGCCATTAAGGAGGAAAATATTGGACACTTCTATGAGTCTTTTCCCTCGCATATGGTTGTACATGTGCCTTTTGCCTCTGATGTTACAAAGATATCTTTAATATGCTGTAGTGACTGTATCAAAATGAACTGTGGGAGATGGCTGGGAAAGGTTGTCATGGGGAGAGGTGAATTGCCAATGGTGGAGCGTGAGGGAGTGAGGATTCTCTAGCAGATAGTCGTTAAAGGGATGGGGAGACTCGGAACCTCAGCCCTGGGAGGATGCATCTCCTTGAGCTCCTCTCTGTTGCCCCTGCCTGAAAGGTGGTACCCATACTGGGCTTCTCTCAACTGGCCCTTTGTTGGTGGTATCCTGCAGGATCCCCTGTCAGAGGAGCGGTTCCACGTGGAGCTGCATTTCAGCCCTGGCGTAAAAGGTGTTGAGGAAGAAGGCAGCGCCCCAGCTGGCTGTGGATTCCGCCCGGCCTCTTCCGAGGTGGGTCTGAGACGAGCACTCGGGAAGCAGGCGGCGGGCGCTGACATAGGGTGCTGAGGGCTGGGGAACTGGGGACTGAAAGGGTGGAAGCCATGCGTGCCTATCATTGAACAGAATGAGGAGATGAAAACAGACCAAGGCAGCATGGAGAACCTGTGCCCAGGGAAGGCGGCAGATGAGCCAGACCGGGCGCTGCAGACTTCACCCCAGCCGCCCGAGGGCCCTGGGCTCCCGCGGAGATCACCCCTCATTCGTAACCGCAAAGCCGGCTCTATGGAGGTAATGGGAGGGCCTGGGAAGGGGGGGAAGGGGTGGAAACACATTATCCGTGTATCCTCTGAAGCTCCTTGAGGAGACTCTCGGACCTGAAACGTTCCCAGGCCCTGACTGATCCTTTGGCTTAATCGCTCTCGCCTAGTTGGTCCCAGGAGAACTTTAAGCTGGTTGCTACTTCTGAGAGTTGCCAGTGAGAGGTTCCTGAGAGAGAAGGGTTTTAAGAAATGAAACTGAAAAAAAAAGAAAATGAAATTGAGGGGGACTCTGGTGAATTCAAAAAGGCAGTTATTTAAAAGGAAATAGAAACCGGATGTGGCAGCGCACACCTGTAATCTTAGCACTCTAGAGGCTGAGGCAGAAGAATCATTGAGAGTTTGAAGCCAGCTTGGGTTGCATAGCGAGTTCAAGGCCAGCCTGAACTGCATAGCAAGACCCTGATCCCCCATAATAATAATAATAGTGAAGTAAAAGGAAATATAGTGGAAACAGCATAAACTCTAGGGTAACATCCCAGTCTGATTTGTAGAAACAGTGTGACCTTACATAGAGATTTTAACTTCTCTAACCCTCACATTTTTTTCATATATAAAATGTGGGTAATATCTACCTTACTGATATTCAGTAAACAGTAACCATAATAACAACATAATATTAAAAGTCACTCCATCTCTTTGTTGCCTGGGTAAAAATTACAACAGAGATGAGCAAATGCCTGGCACTTTATTCTCATTGGAGTTATCTCTACTGGTGTTTCAGAAATAGGACGAGTCTAGAGAGCTCTTTCTCTCTGGCTGAGGTTTGTCCAAAGGAAGGAACTGTTGCTAGTCTCATGTCATGTCCAGCTAACTGTCTTGGGGTATTTGTTCTGGTCTTGCTCCTGGAAACACTGTTTCTCTCTTTGGCTCAATAATACCTTTCTGATGCCATGACTTATCCGTCTCAGGGATACTGTCTGACTTGGATATTGCTCTTACCCAAGAATCTGCTCAGCTGGCTCTATGCCATGTCCCTGTCTTAGAGGAACTGGTTTTTCCATTTTATGGATATTTAAGAAGAATCTGTAACTGACTTTCATAGATTCAGCCAGAGTTTTACAGTTCAGATTTTGGAAAAAGCTGAGAAAACAAACTACAATCTCCTTTCTGGACTCATCCTTGACTTCGTCATTATTTTAAGGTGGAACTGACATTGTAAATGCTTAGAGTTTCTTTAGGTGGGGCAGGCATTATTTTCTGTCTTCAGTGTAGGTATAACTTGGTATCCGTCATCCTCTCAGTGCCCTACGTGCCCATGTAAACCAAAGTGAATGGCCAGAATGACACATCATCTTCTGTCAGTATGCTGCATCTTCACACCTAAATGTCTTTCCTGTTCATATGGTCTGCTGGTCTCCCTGGCACTCTTGTGCAGGATCCCCTGTTTTCTTCTGGTTTAAGTACAACAGACATAGGCAAAGAAGAGCTCTCTATGATTTGATGAGGTCAGTTTCTTTTAGGAAATTTCCTGTTGTAATTGCATTCCTTTCTTTCAGTTGCTAGTGTTGCTTACACCCTGGCTCATCCAGGATGGTCACTGCCCAGCATTTCCTCCTCATTTGCAAGCAAGATTTGCAAGCAGATCTTCTCTCTGCTCCTTGGTCACACAGCCCTGTAATATTATTTCCTGCCCCTGCTCTGTGGGCATTGGACTCTTTTATCCTTATCACTGGCACCCTTCCCTTCATCCTGTCTTGCTCTCTTGTCATCTCATAGTTTTGAACCATTTTAGATTGCAAAAACCTTCATAGCAGCGGAGCCCTAGCTGCTGATCCTCTCTAGCCTTCTACCTAGCTCTGCCCTTTGGGCACTGGGGCTTTGGGAACCTAAGAGTGAAAGGAGCCATGACCGGCTTCCTACCCGGTCTGATTGCAGGTCATGAACATGCAGTGCACGGGGAGCCTGGACCTGATCCCTTTGAGGGGACGGCGCCGCAGGCGGTCAGGAGACCTCCCCCGGCCTTCCCCAGCCATCGGCCTACAGCCCCGGGCTGTGTCCACCACGCACCTGGCGTGCTGCACACAGGTGTCCCTCCCTGCCTCACCTCCCTGTCCTGCCTTCTGTCTTTGCTTTTGGGGATCTAGGGGTGCAGGACACTATTTAGGTGGGCCGTGTGTACGTTGAGGATTGCACAGTCAGCTCTTGTGGGTATTCGAAGAATTCTGTTTCATGTGTTCAGGAGTGCAACTGTCAGAGGGGAGGGCCTCTTGTTTTAGATAAGGAACCCAGTATGGTCGCAACAACCACAGCCATCACACAGAGAGACGGGGGGTAATCGGACTCTTGCGGCTGAACCATTGTGACTGGCTGTGTGAGTCTAAGGTAGAGACACACAAGATTGGGGGACACCGTTGTACCGAGAATAAGGACTTCTCAGATTTGGTGTGGGAGGGCTGTGAGGATAGGCATTCTGGAACTAGAAGGGCCTCGCAGCATAGGATTCCCTGGACAGTCCCTCCTTGAACTATACTGTCGGCTCCCTTTCCATTTCTCTTCCCTCATAAAAATCCTTTTATTCTTCCAAACTTTCTAACGCTGCCTGACTCTGTAAGGGCAAGAATTCTGCTTGGGTTTTACACTTCAGGGTCAAGTGGCAGAATGGTAACAGAGGGTCTTTTTTGTTCAGGTGCTTTCTGAAACTTCCTCCTCGAGGCCTGGTGGCTACCGGCTCTTCTCCTCCTCACGGCCACCAGCGGAGATGAAGCAGAGTGGCCTAGGTATGACTTCCTAGTGACTCTCATCTGTTACTGCAAAGGGTTGTCTGTCTGTTCTTTGAGTTTTATTGTGGGAGATCTTTGTTGTGGGAGCTGGGACCATCTGGTCTGTAGAACTGCCAGGTGGGGAGAGGGAGGATGAAGGGGAAAAAGCCGTAGTTAGGTGTGAAGCTGGATCACAGATGATCGGTTCATCCCCGGAAGGCCCCCTGTGTACCTGCTTGAAGGGCATTTTCCTGGCTTTCCCTCTCATTCCTTATCTGTCCTTCCAGTCTCGCCCAGACGTTAAGGGGCCATGGAGACTCTGAATCTTCAGAGTTATCAGTGACAGAGCTATAAATAGAGGTACTTGTGACCCCGTAACTGTCATAGCTCTCACATGGAGGACTGTGCCATGTGTTCCTCTGACGCCCGTGTTTTTCACAACCCTGCTCTGGCCCTCTCCCTCCATGCCCTCTCCTCCATCCTGTCCTAATCCTGTAACTTTTTTCCTTTCCTTCCGGAAGATTGAGGGCCAAATCTGAAACTGGTGTAGTGGCAGAGGCTTTTCTCATGACTTTGAGAGAATGTCTCTTGATTTTTTGATCCCTGGAGAGGGATGGAGAACATCATTCAACCTTTTCTAAGAACACAGACTACAGGAAGGACCAAGCTTCAGAGGGTATTGTATTCTTTGGGAGGGGAGGAGGTCCTTGGGAGGGGCTGTCTCCGAACACAGTGCCGTGTGTTCTAGAACTGGAGGTCAGACACAGCTGTGTGGGGTCTGAACTTGTTCCCTTGGTTCTTCTTTTATTTTGTCCTATTGTTCTCTGTATTTAGGTTCTCTTGTTTTTCTCTTACCTTTGTCCTTGGCACCTAATTTCTTGACCCAAAAGTGGTCAGCATTTGGACTCCCAAGGGGGAGAAAGGTTTCGGTAACTTTCTAGGCTAATCTGAGGAAAGTAGGTTGCCTTCTCTATCTCTGAAATAAGGTAGATGGTTTGGGGCATGAGAAGTAAATGATAAATGTTTAGGTCTGTGATAGGTACTTCTCTTTCCAAGAATCCCAGTAAGAACAGGTTTCAGATAGGCTGAGGAAATGGATAGGTATATCTGGCCCTTTTAAGTGAAAGTGTGACTAAAGCAGAGAGCCAGGCATGGTGGCACATGCCTGTAATTACAGCATTCAGGAGGCTGAGGCAGGAGGATC